GTTTCAGCACCCAGAGGGCTGAATAGTATATTTGCTGAATAGTAGGGCTAATGGAAGCTGCTTACTATGAACACTTACTGGCCTCTGTACAACTCCCACATGGCCAACTATGGTTCGAGTCCTAGATCTGATGGCTTGCTTTCTCACTTTCCCTCTCTCTTTGTGTCTCTCTCTGGTCAAATTAAATAAAAATAACAATAATAATAATAAATAATGCTTTTTTAAGAAAAGGTTTCTCCAAGTCATCATTAATCACATTTTGCTATTTAAAAATAAATTTATTTTCTAAAATATCTAGTATGGATAAAGGGGGAATTTACTATTTCCTAAATGATAAATTTATAGAAATGAGAATGTTTGGCCACATGGTATAAATAAGTTTTTATTTTAAGGAATTTTGCCAAATTGTCTTCTAAAAAGCTGGCAACTATACAAACTTCAGATGAAAATGGATGAGAGCACCATACCCTGACCAACATGACATACTAACATTCTTTAAGGTCTTGCCATTGGCAGATTGTTTTAGGTTTTATTTTAGTGCATATTTGCTTTCATTGCTTGTCATATTAAACTCTAATTTATATGAATACCCATTGTTGTATTGATGATTAAACATTTATTTCATATTATGATATCAACTATTACCTGTCATATATTTTGTAAATACTTTGGGTCAGTCATTCCTGAGGAAATAGCACTGAAATTGGGCCAAGAGGGAAAAGAACAGTTAGTTGAAAGAGATGGGTTTGTTAAAGAGTGGGAGTGGCTTAGATAAAGGCTCTAGGGAATTAACTGCAAGTCATTCAGTGTGAAGAGAGCACACCAATAAGCATCAAAAAGCCAGGGAGCCTCCAGGTAAGCTCCTGAGGGCTGTGGCTTCAAGTGAGGACAATGGGTCCATCACTTTCTCCTCAGCTCCTGAATTAAGGGTTGGCAGGTGGTAGCACAAACTCAGGACCTGCCCACATTGTTTCAGCACCCAGAGGGCTGAATAGTATATTTGCTGAATAGTAGGGCTAATGGAAGCTGCTTACTATGAACACTTACTGGCCTCTGTACAAGGGCATCATTCCTCTTCATGGGAATATCTGGGCAATTGGGCAGGAAGTACATGCCCTTGCAAATCTCCTTTAACTACTGTTGGAAGAGTGGGTAGTTAAATATCTCAGTTTCCTTCCTGGAGGAATGGATATAGCTCTGAGCCATGTCCTATGCAGACTCCCAAGATCCCCAATGGAATCACCCTTCAGTTTCCTGCAATGATAACCATCTAGATAGTTCATTCTTGATAGGAGTCTCTCCCTGCCCTGGTTTACTTCCTAACTCCTCACTGGCATTTTGGGATAACCTCCCAAGTAAGGTAGTCCTGCCTTCTTTTCTGAGGCCTTATTTGCATGGGGAGCCAAACCAAGACAAACAGGATTGGTCAGGAATTTAATCTGCAGGCCAGCAAGCAGTTTAAGAAATGTAGAGATTGATCTAAAAGTAAAGAGTAGATGTGGAAGATAAATAGTTGAGGGATATGACCAAATGTGCATTTTATAAGCTTATTCTGAATGCCTTACAGAGAATATAACTTAAGTAGATGAATTTAAGGAAGGCAGAGAAGCTGAAAGACACTTGTAATTCTGGTTAGATCACCATAGCATGGACATAAACATGGCAGCAGGAAAGCAAAG